GATTCAGGTATTTGAAAAAAAAATGCCCACAGCAGGATGCATGTGGAACTACCCTGTAATAATGACCATAGAAGTAGTGTTGGTTGAAGGGGGCCTCACCAGGAAGGGAAGTGTAATACTCTAAACTTTTCTGCTTTTGTTGAGAATGGGCTATATTGTTGGGAAACTGTCATTACATGAGGGCTAGATATTGTTTAGAAACTGTTATGATATAGGGAGTGGTTGAAAATGATGAAAAGCGGTACCCTTGAGTCGGTGTAAGAAGAAAAGATGTGGGAGTTGTCTTAAATAAGTGTCTCTATCACTTAGAGAATAGACTTGTAGTTTTGTATGGGAAAGAAAAATCAGGATAGATGTCATGTGGAGTTGGAACTTTCTTCCTTCAGAGGTATCCAAAATGAGAAGGATCACTTACTATATTAGCAAGCTCCCTGTCTTTGAGGTATATTTAAATAGTGACTGATCATTTTCCAAAGATTCCTTCTTTGGGTGGTGGTAGGAGTTGGTTCCAGTCCAAAGATTTTTAATTGTGTAATTTTTTTTCTGGTTCTTAATTTTTATGTTTTTATTTATTAGGTTACACCCCTGCAATTAAAGGACAGCTCTTACACGTTGATGCCACTACCAGCATGCAATATCGGACCCTTTTAGAAGCAGAAATGTTAGCAGTAAGTGTGTAGAATATAATGATAAGCATACTTGTATGAAATACAAATCTGGTTTTAATTTTCTAATGTAAAATTTAAATAACCATGAAATCATCAAATGGTCCATCCTCTAGTTCAAGGACTAGTAAGTGCTCTTGACCCTACATTTGGGAAGAGGAGCGCATTCCCAGTGTATAGACTCCCTTTGGCATCTCTCTGTTGCTCTCTACTTCTAGTGTGGGGTAAGTGAATAAAAGGCAATGATACATATGTTTTTGGCCTTTAAGAAGTTGTTTTTAAAGTCCCAAAACAATAAATGTTGGCGTGGATGCGGAGAGATAGGAACACTCATACACTGCTGGTGGGACTGCAAACTAGTGCAACCTCTGTGGAAAGCAATATGGAGATACCTTAAAGAGATACAAATAGAACTACCATTTGATCCAGCAATCCCATTACTGGGCATCTACCCCAAAGAACAAAAGACACTCTATGAAAAAGACACCTGCACCCGAATGTTTATAGCAGCACAATTCACAATTGCAAAGATGTGGAAACAACCCAAGTGTCCATCAATACATGAGTAGATTAATAAAATGTGGTATATGTATACCATATACTGAGTATATGGTAAAGCTGAGTACTCTTCAGCTTTAAGAAACAATGGTGATATAGCACCTCTTGTATTCTCCTGGATAGAGCTGGAACGCATTCTACTAAGTGAAGTATCCCAAGAATGCAAAAACAAGCACCACATGTACTCACCATCAAATTGGTATTAACTGATCAATACATAAGTGCACATATAAGAATAACATCTATTGGATGTTGGGGAGGGGGGAGGGGGGAAGAGGGGACGGATATATGCATACACAAAGAGTGTGATGCGCACCATCTGAGGGATGGACGTGCTTGAAGCTCGGTCTTGGGGGGGAAGGGGGGCAAGGGCAACATATATAACCTAAACATCTGTACCCCCATAATATGGTGAAACAAACAAACAAAAAAAACAGTTGTTTTTAAACTTTGCTATATAGCTAGACTAAATCTCTTCTAAGATAAAAGATAATTCTTTACTCTATGTTTTCCAGCCCCATTGGATTCTTTCTCAGGGCTTAAATAATGTGATTTATTGTGCCTTTAACATGATGAATAAGGTAAAAGAAAGAAAATCGTATTGATACCTTGGATTGCTCCATATTTGAAACAGAAACAATATGGAAATGCCCATGATTGAAATCGCAGATTGAGGACTCAGTAATAATCAGGCAGATTATTATTTTTTTAATCAGGGACAGCAACAATAATAATAACAAAGCCACTGTGTAGAATGGTTGATATTTAGAGAAGATTCTGTTATATAAGATGGTGCCATAAGGTCCTTAATTACTTGTCTTAAGCATCTTACACATGACGCATATGAAAATTAGGAAAATTTTTCAATTACCAAGAATACATAGAATACCATAAATACATGGTATATAATAATGATATTATTACATACCATTATTATTACATACCATTAAACTGGCATATTCAGCATTTTAGTGAATTCTTGAGCTATTGCTGATAAATAGTGCTGTACAACAGTGCTATTCTTGGGTAGGCAGCTTTTGCCTTTGCAGAAATGCCAAGCTTTTCAGAAATACTAATGTCACTTTGTGTGACAGTATACATTGCAATCTGTCTTCCCTTATCCTGAGCCTCTCACCTAACAGATGAGGCTTAAGGAGAAATTGGGGATGTTGGTTGTTACTCCATTAGTTTAGCTGGAGTGCAGTGTCAAAACTGTAGCCTAATTTGTTGTTCTCAAAGTCTTCTGACTACATTGTGGCTTAATATTTCAAGGAGCTGGATGTAGCCATGGATATTGACCTTTAGCCACATACTGAAATCTCAAAGAGACCTTCTGTTCAGCTCAGTAGGAAAATAAGTTTTAATTACTCATCAGTGTGTGTGACTTCATTTCTAATGCTGTTCACACAATGTCATATTTTAAGCTCTAACATTGTTACTTAACATTTGTTTTTCAAGTTCCATATCAATGCCAGCTACCCCCGGATATGGAACATGCCACAGACATGGCAGTGTGAATTAGAGGTTTATAAAGCCACCTACCACTTCATCTTTGCACAGAAGAACTTCTTTACAGGTAATTTTTTAATGAATATAAATGTAGTGAGGTTTATCACAGTGAACTTATGTATATTCAATAAATTTTGCTTTTAAATTCAACAAAGTATTTGATGACATAATTTATACTTTCTTACTCTTATGCTTCATTTCGGGATGAGGATATGAAAGAGAAAATTTGTAGATAGGCATTTTCTGTACTAAGCCAAACAAGGAAAATATAAGCCCCAAATTGGACTTAGAAGGAAATGAAAGAATTCAATTTAGGCCAGTATCAGTCTAGTGGGGGTAAGATGGGGATGATGAATCAATTCCTCTCTCTTCCTGAATTAGGCATCTACATGGCTTCATTATTTTGTTTTGATTATTGTAATCCACAACACTATATTCAGATAGCTAAATGTTATTTTTATATTTGGAGTTCCTATTTAATCTTTTCTGTTGGCATGGATAGTTGATTGGTGCTATCACTAGTTGGAAAAAAATTCCTTCATTTCTTGCAGCATATTGTGATAGCTGTGCATATTTTGTGGATGTAAGAACTTGTATTGTTAATCTGTGAATAGCATAAATGTTACTACATAAAAATAAGTGGCGTTTATTGAGCCTTCCTCTAAAAAGTTTAGCCCCATAGAGTTTATCTGATTTGCCAGTGTCAGTGGCTACCTCGACAGAAACCTAATCTTTGCTTGACTGCTTGCTACAGTTATCCATCCATCCATCTGTGCAACAGTCATTTATAAGCATCTAGTCTGTGCTGAGTATTATTAGATATTTGGGGGTATAGTGGTGATTAAGGTATGCATGCATAGTCCTATCCTGGTAATACTGCTAGTACAGTGTTGGCTAAATTACTTCACTGTTTAAGCTTCAGTTATCTTATTGAAATAGGGAAAAATTTTCTACCCTAATTTTGCTATTGCTAGAGTTTTGGCCTTTTAAAATGCCTTTTACTGCAATATGTTCAATCACAAGTTTTTAGGATTTGTTTTCTTGTTTGACTGGGAGCCTTCTCTTGGGGACTAGATATAGTGCTTCTGCTTTCCTAGAGTTGTAAACTTCAAGATTTGAGTCAGTGTCCCAGTAATAGAAATTTTAAGAGTTCCTGGCAAGTTAAGCTTTTGCTGGTGAAGCTGAGCATTGATTGAGCGCTTCTCACTTGAAATTTATGGAAAAAAATAATAGCTAAAACTTAACAGTGTGTATTCAGTATCACTTCAAAAAAAAATAGTCCACCACGACCAAGTGGGCTTCATCCCAGGGATGCAAGGATGGTTCACCGTATGTAAATCTATAAATGTAATTTATCACATAAACAGAAGCAAAACAAAGATCATATGATCATCTTAATACATGCAGAAAATGCATTTGCCAATATTCAGCACCTTTTTATGATAAGAACTCTTAACAGAATAGGCATAGATGGAACATATCTCAAAATCGTAAAAGCCACATATGACAAACCCACAGCCAACATAATACTGAATGGGGGAAAATTGAAAGCATTGCCACTCAGAACAGGAACAAAACAAGGATGCCCACTGTCACTACTTCTGTTCAACATAGTGCTGAAAGTCCTAGCCTTAGCAATCAGGCAAGAGAAGAAAATTAAGGGTATACAAATGGGTAAAGAGGAGGTCAAATTATCGCTCTTTGTTGATGATATGATCTTATATCTAGAAAACCCCAATGATTCCACCAAGAGAAGAGACTCCTAGAATTGATAAATAAATTCAGCAAAGGCTGAGGTTTCAAAATCAATGTACACAAATCAGTAGCATTCCTATACACTAACAGTCAAGCCGAGAATCAAATCAAAGACTCAATTCCTTTTACAGTAGCTACAAAGAAAATAAAATACCTAGGAATGTATTTACACAAGGAGGCGAACAATCTCTACAAAGAGAGTTATTAATTACTAAGGAAGGAAATTGTAGATGATGCAAACAAATGGAAGAACATCACGCTTATGGGTTCGCAGAATCAACATTGTTAAAATGTTCGTGTATCCCAAAGTGATTTATAGATTCAATGCAATCCCCATCAAAATATCAATGCCATTTTTTGTAGGTCTAGAAAAAATAATCCTCTGCTTTGTTTGGAACCAGCAAAGAGCCTCAATAGCCAAAGCAACCTTAAGCAAAAGAAACAAATCTGGAGGCCTCACTTTACCAGACTTTGAGCTATACTACAAGGCCATAGTAACCAAAGCAGCATGGTACTGGCACAAAAATAGAGCCATAGACCAATGGAACAGAACAGGAAGCCCAGATATAAAATCATCCCAGGTATTGCCATCTGATCTTTGACAAAGGAGACATACATTGGGGAAAAGAATGCCTATTCAGTAAATGGTGCTGGGAAAATTGCATAGCCACATGTAGAAGATTGAAACAGGATCTATGTCTCTCACCACTCACTTAAATTAATTCAAGATGAATAACAGACTTAAACCTAAGGCATCAAACTATAAGAATTCTAGAAGAAAATGTTGGAGAAACTTCTAGATAAAGACCTAGGCAAAGAATTTATGAAGAAGACCCCAAGGGCAATCTCAGCAGCAACAAAAATAAATAAATGGGACTTGATTAAGTTAAAAAGCTTCTGCACAGCCAAGGAAAGAATCAGCAGAGCAAATAGACAACCTGCAGAATGGGAGAAAATATTCAATACTGTTTATGTAATAAAGGGCTGATAACCAGAATCTACAAAGAACTCAAGCAAATCAGCAAGAAAATATCAAACAACCCAATTAAAAAGTGGGCAGAAGACATGAACAGAAGTTTTTCAAATGAAGATATACTCATTAATGGCCAATAGATATTTGAAAAAATGCTCAGTATCACTAATCATCAGAGAAATGCAAATCAAAACCACAATGAGATATCACTAACCCCAGTGAGAATGGCTTTTATCAAAATGCCCCAAAACAATAGATGCTGGTGTGGCTGTGGAGAGAAAGTAATACTCATACACTGTTGGTGGCATTACAGACTAGTGCAACTTCTATGGAAAATAGTATGGAGAGTCCCAAAGAACTAAAAGTAGACCCACCATTTGATCCCACGATCCCACTACTGGATGTTACCCAAAAGAAAAAAAAGTCATTTTCTGAAAAAGACACTTGTTCTAGAATGTTCATTGCAGCACAGTGCACAATTGCAAAGATGTGGAATCAAGCCAGGTGCCCATCAATTCATGAATGGATCAATAAAATGTGGTATATGTATACCATGGAGTAGTACTCAGCCATAAAAAATGAATTAATACCTTTTGTAACAATCTGGATGGAACTGGAGACCATCCTCCTAAGAGAAGTATCACATGAATGTAAAAACAACTGCCACATGTACTCACTATTAAGTTGGAACTAACCGGTCAGCACTCACATGCACAGATGGAAGTAAAACTCAATGGAAATTATGCAGGTGGGAGGGGAGAAGTGAGGATGGGTGAAACCATACCTAACCTGTACAATGTACACTGCCTGGGTGATGGGCACACTTAAAAAGAAAATTCAGTGAAAGATACTATTTTTAATTTATTAAATATCAAAACAAAGCAAAAACCAGAGACATAGGTAGAAAGAAATACAATGCAGGAGAGGGTACAATGAAGTAAATAAGCAAGCATACATTTCTGGTTGGAGTGTAAATAGATTCAGCTCTCCTGGAAAGCAATTTTGTAATTCATAATAGCCTTGAAAAAATTCCTAAATTTGAACACAAAATTCTGCTTCAGGAATCTCTACTGATATAGTAATCCTGAACATGTAAAATATCTTGTACAAAAATATACAGTACATGGTAATATTACATATAACATAAAAATTTGGAAAGAGTCTACGTATCCAACTCTAGCAAATGGTTAGGTATCCTTGTTAGTGTGGAAAAAAAGGAAATAAAATAGTTAAGTAAATCCTGGCAATCTCTTTAATGAACTGTTATACAAAATTTATGTAAATATGTACAAAATAGCATGGAAAAATATTATATTTGAGTTCAATGAAAAAAGCAACACATAAAACATGTACATACGGGATAGTATCAAAGTCTAAATAGAAAAATAACCAGGGGGAAATGTATCTACAATCTTGGTTATTTATGTGGTAGAATATCAGGTGATTTTTTTTCTCTTTGTCTTCTTAAATTTCACACAAAAAAATAACAGATACATTAAATATATAATTTTTTTGGATTTGGAACTATGGTAAGCATCTGTTTACTGTCAAATTATTTAACTACATCTTAATCATCTTTAAATATTTCAGTATAAAATTTTTTATTTACAAAAGAAAAATTAATTCCTGATGGATACTAAAATCTATGTATTTTGTTTTCTGAATTTCAGTTAACTTTACTTTCTCTCCCCTACCCCAACAATTTTAGATTTAATTCAAGACTGGTCTAGTGATAGTGCTCCAGACATTTTTTCATTCGTTCCATATACATGGAATTTTAAAATCATGTTTCATCAATTTGAAATGATATGGGCTGCTAATCAACATAATTGGATTGACTGTTCCACTAAACAACAGGAAAATGGTAAGAAATTTTTAAAAATTAGTTTAAGTAGTCTCATTAAAACAAATACCAACAAAGAAAATTAGTATTGATTTTATAATTTTAATAGATGCTAGTAGTGATTTTTTTCCTCATTATCTTGTGAGACTCTCAGAGGACTATTTCAGATTTATTGGACTAAACATGTTGCCTTCAATTTAATTTTGTGTAGATGTGCATTCTAGGTAATGTTATGATTTAAACTTTACTGGCATTAAAGTTAATTTACTTTTTCTTCTTCTTTTTTTTGTAGTATATCTGGCTGCCTGTGGGGAGACATTAAACATTGATTTTTCTTTGCCTTTTACGGACTTTGTTCCAGCTACATGTAATACCAGGTTTTCTTTAAGAGTATGTATAATTGGATGTATTGTTTATTCCACAAGGTTTATTAGTATTAAGTTTGATTTCCCAAAGCTTATCTTTACTCTTCTTTGGCTAGCCCATTGCCACCCAAAGGTATTTTTTCTTTGTTCCAGTGTTCACTAGCTTTAGTGTCCCAAAGTTCTTGTTGTTTCTGCTGTGTAATTAACTACCCCTACGAAATTGGGCAATTACAAAAAAATTCCCGAGCTGATTATTTTCTTAGAGCTTATTTCTGATCTCTGTAGCTGGTCTATATGTTAAGAACCCTTTCTAGCTCTAATGTGTACTACGTCTATGAACTAATTTTACACTTTCCTATATGTAGGAATATATGTAGGATTCCTATATGTAGGATTCAACGAATAACCACAAACATCCTTTTTTTTTTTTTTCCTCTGAAAGCCAGCTCTTATGTACTTCTAAGCTCAAAATTCCACGGAACACCTAATTGTAGGGTATGGGCAATCAGTAGTAATTGTAGTATTAATGGTTATGGTGGTAAAACAGCAACAATAATAGGAGCAGATAACACCTATTAAACAATTTTTGTGTGCTAGATAGACACTGTTCTGTGTGCTTTCTGTGTAGCAATTCATTTAATTCTCAGAACAACCTTCTTGAGGTAGTTAGAATTCTGTTTATAGATTAGAAAACTGAGGAACAGAGTTTATGTAACTTGTCATGTAGCCAGTAAATTGCTGAACAGTAGACCTTAGGGCTCCATTCTTTTAACTCTACTATGCTACCTTAGGCATCAAGATGAACAAAGAATAGAAGACCTATAAGGAAAAAAATGAAAGCAAATGAAGATCCTTTGATATGCCAATTCTGAATTATTAAAAGCCAGTTGAGGAAACAAGACTTACTAGAATCAAAGGAAACAATACTATTTTAGAAATTAATAAAAATACAGAAAACATTCCACCTGAACTTATAGTCAATTTTTTTTAAATTGACTTTCATATAAAATTTCCATGGATACCCATGGAAGATAATCTTTTCACTGCTATGTGAAAACTATGCTGTTTCTTTTCCTGATTTTTTTTCCTTTATTTTTCAATCCACATTTAGTTTTAGTCAATGTAACATCTTACTCCAGTTACTTAACTGACTATTCAATGTAAAATCTACTATTTAAAATTTGCTTATTTTTTCTTAAATTTATTTTCAAGGTTGGTGTAGATAGGTTTGGCTGTAAATAGTAACCTAACATATTTATGCATCAATTTTATTACTTTGGATCATTATAAATTATTTTTTAGGGAGAAGATGTTGATCTTCATTTGTTTCTACCAGATTGCCACCCTAGTAAATATTCCTTATTTATGCTGGTAAAGAATTGCCACCCAAATAAGATGATTCATGATGCTGGTATTCCTGCTGAGTGTCAAAGTGGCCAGAAAACAGTTAAACCAAAATGGCGCAACATTACCCAGGAAAAGTGAGTACATAAAATTAGTGACCTAAGTGTTTTGTGTTTATGAGTGGATAAATTATTGTTCTTTCAAAAACTAATTTTATTATCTGTAACTTGTATCTGTATACGATTATAGGAATAAGTGTCTGACTAGAAACTTGGTTTTTTATTCTTCACAGGGCTGGTTGGGTTGAATGCTGGACTGTCCCGAGTGTCATGCTTACAATTGATTATACATGGCATCCAATTTATCCACAAAAAGCAGATGAACAGCTGAAACAGTCATGTAAGTTTTTTTATATAATACGTACTTTCAAACAACTGCTGTTTGAAGACAAAGACACAAAGACACAAAGAAGGAAATAAATTTTTAGAAATGCATTTATTCTTATGACATAATATAAACCTACAATCTTTTAAGTATTTTGGAATAATTATAGCTAACTTTTGAGCATTTACTATGTATCAATGCTGGGCCAAGCAGTTTCCTGGTTTCTTTTATCTCATTTAATTCTTACAACAGCTCTCTGAGATAGATATTATTCTCATCTTAGAGTTGAGAAAATATGCTCAGAGAAGGTAGGTGGTTTTCTCAAGTTCTGTCAAACTAAAAGCTTCAATATGAAACAAGGTGTATGTGAATCTATAAATTTAAGGTGCCTGATTTTGTGAAATGTTAGTTTCTCTAATGCATTAAACAACTATCATATAATTTATAGTTTCCTGAAGGTAATTTACCTTATTACCTTTGTCTTAAAAGGAATTAGAATCAAATGATTTTTTTTTTGGTATTTTTCCGGTAAGTTAAGTTTCAAAGAACAGTTTCTGCAGTTGTTTATGTGTATGGTGACTTGATAATGTCACACTGTATTTGAATAGCTATTTATGTGAAAACAACTTTGTTGTTTAAATGCCCAAGTAGAGTTAAGGTTTAGTTGTGACCCAAATTTATATTGCAGGGACTCAATGAGAGTGTTACTTATGTTAACAGGAACTTTTCACTCATTCTATGCAGTCTGATTTATGCATATCTCTCCATATTTATGAAGTCTATTCTTTGCTTTCTTAATTATTGATCTTTCTGGTCTGCTTTCACTTTATACATTTATGTAAGGATTAATTGATTTCTTATTTGCAAGATAAAATTTTTTAGTGAATACTTCCTTGAAGAACATCTAAGAAGTCATTTGCTCCCCCTCTCAAACATTAATGTTTTCTTTCGCTCAATTTATTCCAGTGTCAGAAATGGAAGAAACAATGCTATCTGTATTAAGGCCAACACAGAAAACATCAGACAGAGTTGTTTCTTCTCCCTCTACTTCTTCACGCCCACCTATTGATCCTTCAGAACTTCCACCAGATAAACTTCATGTAGAAATGGAACTTTCCCCAGATTCTCAGATAACTCTCTATGGACCTCTATTGAATGCCTTTTTGTGTATAAAGGTATGACTTTAAAAAGAACTTACACATTTAAACATAGGCAAAGCAGTTAATTAAAAATTGAGACCATTTGAAATAGATAGTTGGATGATTTGAAGGGTTGAGGATGTATTATGTATGGTGATGGGACTTGGGGTGCTAGACTCAATGACAAAACTGTGTATTAAAAATAGTACTTTTCAGTTCAGCATTTTTTTTCAGCATTTATTATATCTAGAAATGGTGCTAGCTGCTGGAGATAAAGATGATATAGCGTCTATTTTCAATTAGATAAGCTAGAGGAATAGCTAGAAGGATAGATATGTACAAATTTTAATACATTTTAATTAATGCAGCAATAGAAGTACTTGTTATCTGAGAATAATTGATACCAGGAAAAGTATATTGCAAGCGAACCCATTAAAAACAGGAAAATTTTATTATAAATAATGAACAAAGATTTGTTTGTAGCTTCATCTAAAAAATTGGTTTCCATGTTAATTTCCTCCTTAATGTAATCATCGTTCAGCAGAAGGTTGTTTAGTTTCCATGACTTTGTGTAGAGATGAGAGTTTCTGTTGGAGTTGATTTCTCATTTTATTCCACTGTCGTCTGAGAAGATGCATGGTATAATTTCTATTTTTTTAAATTTGTTGAGACATGCTTTGTGGCTTAGGATATGGTCAGTCTTAGAGAATGTCCCATGAGCTCATGAGAAAAACGTATATTCAGTGGTTTTTGGGTAGAATGTTCTATAAATGTCAGTCGGGCCCATTTGTTCTAGAGTTTTGTTTAAGTCCATTGTTTCTTTGTTTATTTTCTGTTTGGAGGATCTGTCCTGTTCTGTCAGAGGCGTGTTGAAGTGTTGAAGTCCCTGGCTATTGTGGTGCTGCTGTTTATCATTTTGTTTAGTTCAAGTAGGAATTGCTTTATGAATCTGGGCGCTCCTGTGTTCAGTGCATAGATATGTAGAATTGATTTGAAGACTAAATTATCGGATATGAGAACTGCTCCACCAGCTCTGTTTTGGTTTCCATTTGCATGGAATATTTTTTTCCATCCCTTCACCTTTGAGTCTAATTGAGTCTTTATGCATTAGATGTGTTTCCTGAAGACAGCAAATTCTTGGCTTGCGTGTATTTATCCATTCAGGCAACCTATGTCTCTTCAGTAGGCAGTCAAGCCATTCACATTTATTGGAGGAATTGATAAATGGTGTGAATTTTTGTTTATCATGTTGAGTAGAACTTTGTTGCTTAGTTTTATGTCTTGAGCCATTGTAGTATCCAGCCTTTGACCTTTAGCTTTTGGATGATTTTACACTGGTGAGTGTCTGTTGTGCTGATCTGTGTGTAATGCTGTTCTGAGTACTTCCTGCAGGGCAGGTCTTGTTTTGACAAATTCCCTCAGTGTTTGCTTGTCTGAGAAAGACTTTATTTCCCCCTCATAAATGAAACTTAGTTTTTCAGGTGCAAAATTCTAGGCGGGGCATTATTCTGTTTGAGAAGACTAAGAATGGAGCCCCAGTCTATTCTGGCTTCTAAGGTTTCAGTTAAGAAGTCTGCAGTTAGTCTGATGGGTTTTGCTTTGTATGTTACCTGCTGCTGTCACCTTGTGGCTCATAGGAGGGCCTCTTTTGTGTTTATTTCAACCAGTCTAATGACCATGTGTTTAGTTTTGTTTTTTTGTTTTTTTTTTTTTATTTCAGGGTATTGTGAGGGTACAAACATTATGGTTACACTTTATGTCTTTGCCTCACCCTAGTGAGGGTTAGAGGCATGCCCTTTCCCCCTACAGTGCTCCCCGTGTCCTTTAATTGTGGATTTACCTCCTCCCCCATCCCCCTAATCCCTGGAGAGTATTTCTGCCATGTGATCACCCTAGTGTTGATCAGTTAGTACCAATTTGATGGCGAGTACAAGTGGAGCCCATTCTTCCGCTCTTGTGGTGTCTCACTTTGGATAATGGGCTTAAGTTTAATACAGGAAAGCATAAGAGGTTCTAGATCACTGTCGTTTCTTATGATTGAGTAATATTCCATTGTAAACATACACCAAATTTTAATAATCCACTCATGGATTGACGGGCACTTGGGTTGTTTCCACATCCTTGCAATAGTGAATTGTGCTGCCATAAACATTTGGGTGCAGATGTCTTTATCATAGAATGTTTTGTGCTCTTTTGGGTAGATGCCTAATAGTGCTATTGCTGGATTGAATGGTATTTCTATTTTTAGCTCTCTGAGGTATCTCCAAATTCTTTTCCACAGAGGTTGCACTAATTTGCAGTCCCACCAGCAGTGTAACATGTGTTTAGTTTTAAAAATTTAATGTTGGCATTTAGCATTTATTTATTTATGTATTTATTTACCTTTATATTTGTATTTAAATTTGTTTGTGGATTCAGGATAATAAGGACAGTTATGAAGATTTCAAGCAAGTTTCATGTTGCATCTGTATTATTAATATTTAGAGGTAGACTGCAGTAGAGAATAGAAGGAAAAGCACTGGTTTTGTGAGTCTGTAGATTTGGGATTTTAATATTAGTCCTCCCACTAATTAACAGCGTGGCTTTAAACCCTTCAACATCCCTTCCTATGAAAAGATATTATGGCCTGATGTTCATAAACTTAGCCAGAAATAAATTTGTCAGTAACCAAACTGCAGCATTTACCAGAATACTTGGTTCAAATATTTAACAGATAGTAACATTAACAGGAATATTTAACAACTTTTGTTTACTACTGAGAGATCAAATAGGTAAAATTTAAATTCCGAATCAAAGGAAGGCAGAAAAATTTAAATTAAAAATAAATTTAAATTCTGATGCAAAAGAAATTAGAATATTAACAGTTGAAATACTTTTGCATTAAAAAACAGGCTGAACCATTAAAAGGAAATTTTTTTCATAACTGTTCATAGCACGTGCTTTTATCTCATTAATAACCAAAATTGAATATTTTTATTAAAGCTGTTAAAACAGTCCTGATAAATATTACAACAGGAATATGCGAATTATAGTATTTACCTAACTGGATTTGGCCAAATTGATTTTCTATGAATTGATCTGCTTTCCCCAAAGACCGTCCCTCAGTATTGCATCAAAACTCTCAGAGGCAAAGATTGAAAACTGTTGAAACATACAAACCATTAAAGGTCTCTTTGAGGACCTAACGTATAAGTTTTTGCTGTAATTGGGGTGGTGTGAAGCTTTATTACAAACTTCTATAACATTTCGTGTTTTTTGCTACAGAATATTTATTTGCTAAGCAGCTATGTGTATGCCTTAAATATATATGTAATTTTTATTTTATTTTAAGGAAATAGACCTGATACTATTTATTAAATACAATAGGTTAGGGAAATGCATAGTTTACAAATTTAGTACTCATGGTGAAAACCTATTACATATCTCTTGATAGCAGTGTGTTTTTTCTTAATATTTATAGGAAAACTACTTTGGAGAAGATGACATGTATATGGATTTTGAAGAGGTTATTTCAAGTCCTGTTCTGTCATTGTCAACATCATCCAGCTCTGGGTGGACTGCTGTTGGAATGGAAAATGACAAAAAGGAAAATGAAAGTTCAGCCAAGTCAATTCATCCACTTACCTTGCGTCCTTGGGATATTACTGTACTTGTTAATTTGTACAAAGTTCATGGGCGTCTTCCTGTTGTAAGTGTTTACATATCAAAATAATCTGGAATATATTATGATATCCACCTAGCACAGGAAACTGTGTGTGTGTGTGTGTGTGTGTGTGTGTGTGTGTGTGCATGATACAGTATACACTTAGAAAAGAAATTCAGATTAAAAAACTTTTATGCTCTTTCACTGTTTTAATTCTAACTTATTTTTCTTCATAATATGATTAATTGATTATCGATGGTTTTACTTTCTATTTTTCTTCTTTCACTTTAGCTCCTTCTTTGCTGTTCTGTGTAACTACCAGGATGTTGTGTCATGACATTGAGTTGTCGCATTTATAATTAGCCTGATGGATATTTGAGGACTTTATATTTTCTTAGCTTTTTATTTCCAGACCCCAGACCAGTTTGGGGCCTTATGGTTGACCTGTTACAGAAAAGTTTCAGGCTTGACCCTAGAGGTTGAATTGTGTGGTTTGGATCCAGCACAGTACCCTGGATGCCTCTAACAATGCCTCTTGGACCTATTGGGGCTGACCTGGAATGAGATGATATTGCTCCAAGAACCGAGGGACTTTGGAGCAGGGCCAGACTGGTTGAGAAGTAGTGACCCTAGAGCGCTGGGCTGCATACTGACTCCATGTCACGTACCTAGCGTTATACAGAGAAGAGTCACCTCTGGTGGCTTAGTGCAGCTAATGTCCATACTGGGGTACAGAGTAGTTATTTTTGTCAGTAAGCACTGTTTTTCCTTTTGAAAAATGAAATTCTCTTAATCATGATAAATGTAATTTTTAGTTTCATATACTTCCTTACTCTTCACTTTTCCTGTATCTTGATTATGGTATTTTGTTTGACTGTAGCATGGAACTACTGATGGTCCTGAATGCCCTACAGCTTTCTTGGAAAGACTATGTTTTGAAATGAAAAAAGGATTTAGGGAGACCATGCTACAACTTATCCTGTCACCGCTGAATGTGTTTGTCAGTGATAACTATCAGGTAATGTGAAAGTGAGATGTAATAGAGACTTAAGAAATTTCCTATTCATATTTATGGAGTCAAAATAATGCGTTAGCTTCTGTGCTTGGAATAAATAGCTCCTTAGAGACTTTTAATTTAACTGTATTAAGGAGTTTCTGCATTACGACCCATTTTTAACTCAAATAAGAAAATTGCTCAGATTTGCTTTTTGTCTAACATCATTTCCATAGTCTAAAATAAATATAAAATAAACAGCAAGTA